ATTGGAACAAGGCCGGCAGGGGAGAGAGATGACCGCAGCTGTGAACAAAAACCAAAAAATCTGGGGTTTGGCGGGGGAAAAAGATGAGGAGAAATGGGAAACTTGTAAAAGGGGTGCAGCGGACCTACTGACGTCAGCAAGCGAGAGAAAGTCTTCGATGAGCTTGGAGGTGAGGTATTTGATGTCCTTAGCCTTGCATGATGCGGTTATGGCGCTAATTCTCTGTTATGTCGATCTTTCCCTGGACTGAGCTGCAAGAGTTCGTCTTTCTGTTGCTGTCAAAGTAAGTCCTAAGTTGGTAGGAGGTTTAGGTGCCAGTCTGCAACAAGCCATTGCGTAAAGTAGCAAGCACGGGCGTTGAATGGATGGCACTTGTTAAACAACCCATCTAGTCCAAGCAACGGTGCGTGCAAGGGAACCACATGCATACAAGTGCTCCCCAAGGTCTTTGAGGGGTTACCCTGCAACCGGCAAACGTGTGAAGTAGCAAGCACGGGCATTGAGCGGCGGGCTCCAGTTAAACAACCCGTCCCTGTCTAGCCCAAGAAACGGTAGTGACTGGCGTACGAGCGAACCGCGTGTGTACGAGCGCTGACCCAGGGAGGTGCAGGCACTACTTGGCCACGTCGTCTGTTGGCTACATTAAACAATTCTTGAGGACTGTGTTGGCTGTCCCTAAACTGCCAGTTGGCCAACATAGTTGTCAAAACTTTTCTCTGTAGAAGAGTCCGTTAAATGAGGCAATTGCGGAACTAGACATCAGTTCCGTTTAGATTGCGGGTCTAGAGTCATGCGGGTTAGAGTTGGGGACATACAAGTCCAGTCGAGGGGGCTACGTCAAAGTCTAAGGGGTTGTGGAATAGGGTCTGTACAGACTAACTGTTGTATGAATTTTCCAAGATGGATGACTACCCCATGTATTCTGTATTGGCTTTTTGTCGTACTCATACAACCCCTTCTCCATTTCTTCTTTTCCCTGGGATTCTGGCGTAGTGTACACATTCCAGTGATAGACCGCCGTAGTGGTAGAAATACTTTACAGCCAGGGGACAAAGGGTGCGAAGAACCGCAAAAGAGAAGACAAGGGCAGAAGATTGGACACAGTGACGAGTGACGAAGGAGTTGAAAAGAGGAAGGAAGGATGAGAGAAGGGACAGACTTCCAGTGGCGGGACACCAACGGTAGCAATTGGAACCGGGCCTTCCATCGTGACAATAGATGACCGCCTCGCGGAAGCAAAAAGCGAAAAGGCAGAGGCGAAGTAAAGAAAGGAAGACTTGTAGGCAGCGAGAAAGCATGTGGAAGGAGACAAAGAAAAGATGCAGCAGGTGGTCCGAGGAGAAATTGTTGTCCACTTGTAAAAAATAGCAAAAGAGAGTGGTCAACCAGTCGTAAACCAGGTAGCTGTGCTGACCCTCAACAATCAGCTGGCAATTGAAGAGTTGTGAAAGAAGTTGAAGACCTCGGTGCAGATGATGGAAAAAGACCGCCTCTTAGTCGAACCAAAACTTTAGTACCCTCGACACTGACCTTAGTGTCCTCAATACTAACTTGAGAACTTCAAATGAGAATATAAAGGGGAGGGTGGAGGGAGCCACAAGGAGGCTGAGGGAGGCAGGAAGGAGGGAGGGTGGAAGGAGGGAGGAAGTCGGGAGGAGGAGAAGAAAATTCTAAGAAGAGGAAGAGGAACACAAGAAGAAAAGGAAGGGAAGGAGAAGCAGCATAAGGGCTTGCGCGTTGTTGGTTGATCATTGTCGACTGGAGGCTTCATCGTCGAATCGTCGGCATGGCTGACTTAAGTGAGTCTCCATGTGTGTGTGGTAGTGGCAGCAGTGTTAGTGGTGGAGCGAGGCAAAAGCATGGTGCGGTAGCGCGAGGCAAAAGCATGGCGCGCGGCGGCGCATCGCAGAGGCATGGCACGACAGCGAGGTCCAGATCGGTGCGCGGTCTTAAGATCTTAAGACCGCGCACTGATCTGGACCATCGATCCGGCCGGACCGGACGACCGCGATCTTAGATTTCTTACATGACGTGGGCGATCCAGGCCGTGGGCCAGTAGGACCGACGACGGCCTGGATCTGGGATTGGCTCCCTTAGTGATTTTAAACCGCAAGTACCTTTGGACGTTCGCTGCCGAAACATTCTGTGGTCAGTTCCCGAGCCTGACCGGGAGTCACGCGTTTGATGAGACGAAGTAGGGGGAAAAAAAAAACAGAAGTAACCCATTGTTTCTGTTTCAGGCCTGAATGCAGTAGCGGTTTTCTATTCTCAAGTAGGCCTAGTGCAGCGTGAAAGGAGGGAATTCTTTTTTGCCAAAACAAAGAAAAAGAAAGTTGTCCGTTGTTCCCGTCTGAGCAGTGTTCGCAGTAGAGGCTTTCTATTCGCCAGTACTGCGTGATTGACGGGCAATATCTGGCAAAAAAAAAAGAAAAAAACAAAGCAATTGTCAGATTTTGTTTGTCCTCTGGTTGCTTGTGATCATTAGAGGATTTCTATTCGCCAATACTACGTGATTGGCCGCCGATTTAAAGTCAGCGTGGGAGACCCAAAAAAAAAAAAAAAAAAAAGTTCCCAGACTCCGTTTTGATTGGAGGCCACCTCCAAGTGCACTGGCGGGAGGATTTTTGTTCACCAACGCTGCGTGGCCTCGTTTTTTTTTCTTTTTTTTTTTCGTTTTCAACTGGAGGCCGCCTCCATCCTTGATACAAGCCCAGCCCGAAGCTACACCGACCCTGCAGGGCGACCTCCGCGCATGCCAGAGGTCGGGAAAAAGTAGTTAGGTTAGGTACTGGCGGTTTAATAGCGTAGGGAAGAAAGACAGGGTTAGAAATGAGAATACTTAGCGTGGTTCCTGACTCAAATCGAAACATCTAATGGACTGCTGATTGCAGATGATGCCATTTGAAGACCGGTCAACACCAAGGAACTACAAGCCAATTCACGACTGAGAGATGTTTGTCAAGTAGTGCCCCTTTTGCAACAACAATCACCAATAAATACTCCCATCGCTCGCCAAACCTTCCTTCACCCTTCCACCAGTCCATGTTCGACTTGTGGATGAGAAGAGCAGCTGGCTGTTAGTCAACACAACGCCAGTCAGCCTTTGGCGGGCACCGCACTCTTGATCTCGCCGGCTATAGATAGTGCTCCTGCGGGGAACTGCTCTGATACCAAATTGCAAGGAAGGTGCGTGCGAGAAACTTGATACATGGCCGACATGAACTCCGTTGATCAACATGTATGAGATGACCAGACAGAGTTGACAAGGCAAATCACATTTGTCTCTTGATTAAGAAAGCTTTCTTCTCACCTCCAACCTATCATGCAACAGTGAAGAGAGAGTCCATGACTCGCCCCTGATGCCACTGACCAGTCAGTATGAAGGCCCATCCTACTGCTACACCTAGCCTGCACTACCCATCCTCCCTGCGATAGAATTCTGTCCCACCTGCTGATGACCCCTGGGAGACTTGTCATGCCGGAGTTCTTCCCTTCTGACCACCAGGTAAGTTCCATCAACCTCTCTCATGGTCCATGACTCGCCCCTCATGCCACTGACCAGTCAGTATGAAGGCCCATCCTACTGCTACACCTAGCCTACACTACCCATCCTCCCTGCAAAAGAATTCTGCCCCACCTGCTGATGACCCCTTGGAGACTTGTCATGCTGGAGTTCTTCCCTTCTGACCACAAGGTAAGTTCCGTCAACCTCTCTCATGGCCTTCCTTCACCTCCCAAGGATCCCGCTACCCTCTGTGTACACGGCGTCCTACAGCCATGGCGCTCGCCTTTTTCCTCAGAGCACAGTAGTATGGCGCTTGCCACTGCACGACTCTGCTCCTCCCTACACGCATGCGTTGACTTAAAGCTGGCACAGCAGCGACCTGCATCTGTATGTTCCCTTGACTGGTTCAGCCTCGACTTATCTACAGTCTCTGGGCTCTTCTTCGTCGGGTAGATAATGCCTACCAGAATGTTTGGGTGTCCGGTGAAACCTACCCGGTCCAAGCAGAGTTACAAAGTCCCTCTCCTGGGCCTACCAGGCCCTCACGGACCCGGGACCCAAGACCTACCAGCTCTGAACAGCCTGCCACGCAGCCCCAGGGGCCTGAAAAGTCTATTGTGATTCTTGGCACTGAACCTCCAAGAAACGCCCCACCATACGTAGAATCTGCATTCTGGACAACCTTCAAAGAACAGCTGAGAGGAAGTATAACAACAACATCAAGAAACGTGAAGTTTACAAGCCAAGCAGGCCTTTTGGAGCTTATTCACCTGCCCGAAGAAAAACAAAAAAAAAACTTAAAAAAAGGGATAATTTTTAAAATGCCCCTCCGACTTCCATTTATTTGCGGTTTGCCCCTCCGACGGCCGACTTACCCTGGCCCCTGGGGCCTCTGAAGTTTCCTGCAGGCCCCTGTCAGTGAGGGGTGCAACTTTCCAGCATACCCCTGTGGCTCTTGGTGGCATTTTCACCGTTCCCTTGGCCCTGGGAGGGGAGCTACAGGGGCATACTGGAAATTTGGAACCGATACTGGTAGGGGCATATTGAACATGTTTCAGGCCCAAACGATGCCAGGGGTTTTTCGGAAACTTCGATTGTTGTCAGAGGGACGCAACAGGGTAATGCAGCCGTCTGCTGCAAATAAATGGACGCCGAAGGGGCATTTCGAAAATTTTCCTAAAAAAAAGAAACAATACATTATTATATTCTTGAGGAAATTCATTCACATGTACCTTCCTCCTGGCTATCGTACGAACCTAGAGCTGTTGAGCTGTTCTCTTTCATGACATTCAGGTTGTTCCCTTCAACAGTAAGAACTACTAAGAAGTTATCCCTGCACCACCTTTCAGCAGAAAAAGGAATTTGCTTCTATTCATGCCCAATGTGGCATGCTGATCGCCTCTCTTCGCTGCAAAACTTCCCTTTCCTAGTGCCACAATTGCAAATCTGATCACATGCCTACGGTCAGCCTTGAGCTTAGGATGCCAATTCTTACCAGTGCGCCCCAGCATGCTCGAATGGATTCGACCTTGCTTTACTTGCTTTGGCCTTCATCATTGCATCCAAACCATCCAGTACCCATTCACACGACTCCAGCTTGAGCTCTGCAGGGACAAGCAGCAAAACCAGAAGATGCAATCTACTCAATCCAAGCTTGAACACGCGCACGAGCTCCCACCTAGCTCAATCTGAAAAGTTGAACCAACCTCGAGCAGTGCTGGCAAGTAGTAGCAACCACTTAATATAAGGAACAAATCGGCACCAGAGACTGGGATACCAATTTTTCTGACAACAAAACTAACAAGCTGATGTGAGTCCACCCTCATCCAGTGGGCTTCAACACATAATAAAATAAAATACCATGAACTAAGTCAGTAAAGATAATGCACGAGAATACTGCAAGATGGGATTCAGCGACTCGTGAAAACCACCTCGAGAGTCGAAACTATAGTACCACATTGTCCGAAGCAGACCAGCTATCTGTCCACACTGTACGACCCCGACAACCCCTCAGAAAAGGCCCATCAAGACATATTTTCAGTCTGGCTTGAATAGAGCTCCAAGATGTATAAAGGGTGTTCTTCTAAGGTGGAATTTTAAGACCAGACCTAAGTAAAGTTGTTAGGTGTTTCGCTGTTTTGAAGAAGGTGAGATTCGAGCCCAGGACCTCCGAGTACAGCCTGTTAGCTAGGCATAGAAGGCAGTCCTTTTTTTTTGTTTTTAACATAGCACTCACTGATGCCCCATCTACTCTGACAGTCTGGTTGCTTTTCACCGGCAAGCATCCAAGTAAATCAACAAAGGGGTAGAAGCAAAGAGAGACCAGCTCAGTCCCATGTACAAGGCACCTGTGGCTGTGAGAAGCTGTTTGCAGTGCAATAACAGCGCAATTGGAGGGGCAACTATAATTTCAAACATCCGCGCCGCTTTAGCCAGGGGACAGTCGCTCAAAGGTGTACGGCAGCTAATCGTATACCATTTTTGCAGCCCAGACGGGCTCCCTCTGCTGTATTGCCGCTCTTCAATGCTCAGGCCGCATCAATTCATAACAGCCCCTCCTCACTGATATATTCTCTCAAACCTGCGTCCCTTGCAAGTTTCAAGTCATTCAAAAGCACAACCCCATTCTACTCAGTGCTGCGCCTCTATACTGTTCAAAATCTCCACACAACCCCTTTTATCGTCGTTTACCTCTATGTCGTGCCTTTGATCAAACTCCTCCCAGGTCCCGGTGGCCTGCACTATTTTAACTTGTTATAGTTAACCCCATCAGAACACATCTCAGCACATTTGACGAGTGGAGCGGCGAGGCCCTGTGGCCACGCGCTATAGGGCTATTTCCAAATGCTGACAGGTGAAGGGGCCGCGGCACATAAAGTCTGCCTGGCGGCAGCTAGAAAGGGCAAAAAAGACAAAAAGTCGACGGGGGAGGGGGCAGGCGCTGAGGAAAATACGAAATACCCCGCCGGGACTCCTCCGCCACGGTGGATTAGGGCGGAGCCACCGCTGCCCTCGACTCTTACACCACTGTCAATTTTCTGTGGTGCGAATAACAATTTTTTTGTGGGGCAACCGACAGGCTTTAAATTCCTTTAATGCATGTGGCACAACCTTTACTGTGACTGGCACCACGGGTAAGGCGGCCCTGATTGACAGCAATACTTCACCTCCACTGTCCAGATCACTGTGAAGCAAGAAGAAGCCATCACGTGGTGCTCATGAGCACTGACAATCAGTTAGAAAAGGAGTTTTAAGGCGCTCCCAACCGCCCAGATCGAGATCCAAAGCCCAGCAAACCGAGATAGGCAAGAGATTGGAGTGCAGCGTATCCCTGCGGCCCATTTAGCTATAGAGGATTGTTCTGATGTCTGGACAGGATAGCCTACTGAAAAACCTGAAGTGTTTGAATTTTCTCACACACGGATTGGAATCACATAGTTATTTTGTAAGCTAGCTTCCTAAACTTGAGCTTGCCCTCCATGGGGGCTACACAAGGTTGCATGTGTGTTAAGTATGTTCCTCAGTTGATTTTTCTCAGAAAAAGTGTGGCCTTCTGCGCATTCCCAGAGGAGCCCGAGTGCGGGATCTTTTCTCATTTGAGTGTTGGCTGTCAAGGGGGGATAAGGGGGGTATACAGTGGCTTTAAAGAGGCTAAAGCAGTTTAAGGGGTGTAAGGGGGGCTGTCTTAGTCTGATTCTTTTATTTAACTTTTTTCTTTTTGAACTTCGATTCCGGAATTCAGATATGACCCTCACCCAAAAGCCGTCAGCATTGCAAATCTACACAGCATTTTTCTTCCGGATCTTTTTTTTCTTTTTTCCTTTTCTTTTTGCGCTGGGGCTTCCCGAAACTCTGCCTGGGGCTGATGCCTGGCCGGGCAACCGGGCATGAGTCCGGGCACAAGTTGCGTGCTCGGGCGGCCAGAAAAACAACCTAGGTATGTTCCATATATTCGTTGCATCAAGTAAGTTGAATTCAGCAAGGAGTTCTGAGGTAAGTCAGGTGACCCTCCGCCAAAAGTCTTTGCATTGCAGATTATCGTAAATTTCTCTTTTACGGAGAAAGACATGGTTTTGTGCACTGCAAGACACTGGCTGCAAACCTCCTGTCCGGATCTGTCCAACTCCAAGCCTGCCAGACATCTGCCCTTACGACCTTGCCTCAGACCAGTTACAAACACGGAGTATACACTCCCTCTAGTGGCCATGTAATAATCTATTAATCTTCAAAGATGGAAAAACAACAAAGCTCTGCTTGATACCAGGACTTTGATTGTCAACCTCCACCGTGCGATTCTCCCTCCAAGAGTGGGTCCATCTGTTTTGGCTATCATGAACAGACACAACTCCCAACAACCAATCACAAGAAAGAACCTGCGAAGATCACAATTGGAATTCACACTGATGATGAGCCACTCAAACAGCTATCGTAACAGAGTTTATTCCAATATCTCGCCACTCTCAGAACTCACACCCCACTCTCTATCCTACACCTAGTTAGTAGCGCCACATCTGCATAGCCTCCCAGAGGCCAGCGCCAACCACCCTGATGAAGAGTGGGTCCATCTGTTTTGGCTATCATGAACAAAGACGCACACGATTACTCCCTTGCCTACCGAAGCGAGGGCAGCCTACCTAAGCTAAGAGGAGTGTGAACAGAAGAGAGAGTGCATAAAATACTAGCATATAAAACTGCTACTAGTCATTTGCGCAGAGCATATGATGTGAAGTGTATTGCAAAGCATTCTTCTGGAAGGTTCAAATGTGCATCCACGTTTTACCAGACGCCAAGGATTGAACGTAAACAAATTAGGGTTCCCGCACCAGTACAAATTGCTTGCACGACACTTGCTCTGTGCGAATGGGGTTATCCTGTTTGGATAGCAACATCAGAGGGGTGGTGGTGTGAACCTCAACAAGGGTCTTCCTGTCCCCGCTAACTCTTTCATGCATGAAGGGGCATGGGCCTCTACACAAGGAAGAGCAAAACTGTGGGAATCGAAGTGAAGACCCCTTCTTCTTCCCCACTCCCACTGTTCATCTGCAGCAGATAAATGAAAGCCTGATGTCACTCTGCCCATAAGGGGATGGCGAGCAGTTACCATTGGATTCCTCCTCTTAACCCATTGCCGCCACCCTCCGTTCCCCAATGTCTATGCGTTTTCCCACAGTCCATAGACACCCCCCAATATTGGACTGTTTGTCTCACGTGGGATCGCCCTTAACACATCAACAAGGGAGGAAAGAGAGGGACTTTCTGCAGGGTGACACAGGGTGATGCAGGGCCTTGTGTGATCAGAGCTTCGCATAAAATGGGGGACAAGGAGGGTAATTTTGCACACAAATGGGGAAGCCATCACCAAATGAATCATGATTGCTCTACGGCTTACCTTCTATTGTCTTCACTTGCAATCTTGGTTGATCATCATGAACTTGATCATTTGACATTGCCAAGATTATGCCATGCCTGTCTGATACCATTGCAACTTCAGGGTCCTTTTAAAGATCGATTTGAGGATGGTAGACGGACCAGAGCAACAACAACAGGAGAGAACATATCAAATAAAGATAGCGAAAGCAACCAAGCCCAACTGAACACCATATAGCATATTCACGTCCAGCTTTGCCTTGCATCTTACACACAATTCTATTTTTTCTTCAAAAATTGCGGTTGTATTGTCACAGCTACCGTGTATTCTGGACAGCATCAGCCAAGTTCCTTTTTTCTTGTTCACTTTATTCCTTAGGAAAAAAAAGAAATGGTAGCCCCCTAGCGTTAATCCATCCATTTCATTTCATCAGGATTCAAACTCATGATCTGTCATTTAATAGTAACATTCATCTAGCATTCGGCCACTTGGGTGGCATACCATCAGTGCAGTTGCTTTCCAGCTGCAACAGCGGCGACCCATCAAAAAGTACAACAGTCCTCATTCTAATAGAATCTAACTGCATACAATATTTCCAGTTCACTCCTTGCGGACATTTCTGCACCAGCAAAACAAAACTCCTGGGCCTTAATGCTCTTCTCTTTGCCTCGAAACAATTGCCTTCTCACTTTGCTAAGCCCAGATATCAGAGCTGTGTTGTGTTGTGAAACAGCGTGTCATTACTTCCATGATTCCATGTTTAATTCATTTGGCTGCATGCATCTAATGCTCCCAAAACTCTTCCCCACTTTCTCATCAAAATCTCCTCACAGGACCCTTCCCTGATTCCCCTCCTCCACATTCCACCTTTTCTGACTTTTCATGAATATTTAATATTAGCCTTTACTAGATGGCGTCTTGTGGCTTGGCTCGCAAAAAAACAAACATAACAGATAATTCATTCGTGCTGGAGACAACTGATCGATGCGAACTCTCTCTCTCTCTCTCTCTCTCTCTCTCTCTCTCACACACACACACACACACACACACACACACAGAGGGTTGGTCCGAAGTGGGAAGTGGGGCAGCGTGGATAAGGAAGCTGCCCCCAGCTGGTTAGGTCGTGTTGGGTCGATACTAGACCTGACCAGGTTGATTGAGAGTGAGCTTGTGGTGGCGAGACACATCAAGAGGACTTCATGCGACAATTTAAGAGAGGCGACAGTGAGAGGCACTCGCACCTGGAATCTGACCTAAGGGAGACACTTGGCGACTTAAGGGCCTCCCTCAGGTAGGCGGGCTAGAGGGAGGTAGTCATTCTGCATCTATGGACTGCAAGTTACTACTTCGTTCTTCAGCATGGGCGGGGGATCCGGCGTTGCACTTTGGTGTTGGAGTCAGACCCTCCTACATGATAGGACACTAGTGTAGAGGTAGCAATTGGGGTTAGGGAGACCACATGAGGAAGGGGGGTGAGTTATACTTCATCTCAGTGTCCGGGCCACTCAGGTAGGTGTCGTGCACCTTGTGTGAGTGCACGGTATTGTTTGTCCTGTTGGGGTACTTCTGGATCTCTTTCCTACTCCTGTGAAGTCTTGGTTGTGCGCATTCGTGTGCAAACTACTTACTGGCCTAATGGATGGAGAGATGAAGTATCTTGCTTTGAATGCCATATCTTTCTACAGTGCTTTGTCTATTTATTCTAAGCGGATGTAGTATGTAGGTTCTCTCTGAAAAGTTCAATTTCGTTTTTCAGTACGGTAGAGAGACAGAAAGTAGGACAGTGTGGTAATCTTCTTGGTTGGGACTTGGTTGTGGCCTACGTGGGACCCATCGGGACTCCGTGGGACCAGGCCCAAACAAGAAAGGCCCCTTGGACCCAAATCTGTTGACTCAATGTCGCTCTCTTTTCTGTCTAGAATTCGCTGTTTTTCGTTTGGTTAGAGCACTCGCTGCCGAGGGGATCTCGGCTGAGACGTTTTGCGGACTGATGACGCATAATCCGATGCTCGACTTGCACCTTATACACCACTCAATTCTCCATTGTTGTATGTCGTCGCTTGTAGTCTGATTTGCTGTACTTTGACGGTGCCGATCGGATTAGGTTAGAGGGGATCTCGTACTTGGTCTGACCGGAATGAAGCGCAGAGTCACAACTCTCTTCTGAACAATTTATTGCTCTCTAGTCCAAATATTTTGTCGCTCCGGCTAGGAGTTCTACCTTCTCTTCTTTGTGCCTTTCAGTCTGTTTCTTTTGCTGAAGTTCATTTCATGCCCATCGTGACGTGTGGACGAGAGAAGAGAAAACTGAGGGATCTAGTAGTTCCAACACGGCAGTAGCCAAGCCTTCTGAGATTCTAAAGGCTCAGATGGATGCAGCGAATGAAGAAGAAAAACCGCTGTACCAACTGAGGGATCTAGTAGCTCCAACATGGCAGCAGCCAAGCCTTCTGAGATTCTGAAGGCTCAGATGGATGCAGCAGATGAAGAACATAAACTGCTGACCAGAGGCCCGCTATCAGAAGGAGCTGGCCAAGGAGGAGGAGGAGGAAGAGGCCAAGCAGAAATCCGCTAATCAGAACAGTCTCAACCCTGCCTGATTTAGAAGTAAAAAAGGATCTGATCAAGTTTGTACGTGCCCTCATAGATTGTCACTCACTCAGTGAGCTACCTAGTATAAAGTCCCAACTACTCGACCAAATGAGCCAGCTGCGGACTCATATGGCGGAAATGGCCAAAGGAGCACAGTGACCATTTGCAGCAGACGGCAAATCTGCATCAGGCCCAGATCTCAAATTCCCTTCTCCTTACCTCTTGTAGCTAACTGTTATGTCCTTGCACCTCTCCATACTTCTTCTTCTTCTTCTTCTTCTTCTTCTTCTTCGTTGAGTTTGGTTGCAAGTCTTCCAGGACCTGCAACAAGTGCAGATTCCGTTGTTGCTACAAGTGACGACGCAGGAAATTTTGCAATTGTTGCAGCCCAGAGATTGGAACCAGCAATGGCTGGTCCCAGCTATAGCAGTCCATACATGGACCGAAAAGCGGTGATGATACCATCCAGATACGACAGCAAGGAAGACGTCGAGTCCTGGATCAGCTCCATGAGAGCTCACTTTGACAGGTACAAGGCACTCGAAGAGTGAACCAGTCCTTGATCCTAGGGACAAACGTCGGGACTGTCCGAAGGGGCTTCCTAGAAGTCCAAGCTATGCAAGCTGGGTATGCTAAGCTCGATCTGACAGAGTGGCTTAAAGTCACTCCAGTAGCCACTCCAGAAGAAGCGCTGATTACACAATACAAGGACCCACATGCTGCAGCAAGAGTAAGTATCCAACTTGATGACCTCAAGCGCAGCAAGTGGGAGGGCACCATGCACAAGTTGCAGATGCATTTCAGCAAACTCTTTGCTACACCACGGTTGGAAATGACTGCGCAATCGTGCTTGGATCTAATGAATGGGACGGTTCCCACCACTTTTACACATCACCTAGGCAGAGATCTCATTGGTTATGCTGACTGGTTTTCCCTCATGAAGGATATAGTTAGTCTCGAGGCAACACACCTTGTTACCACAGCAAGCAGCAAAAAGGCCTACGGCCGCAAACGGTTTCATGGCAGCAACCGTCTTGTCGTGCACGACTTGTTGGAGGCTAAAGGAGAGGCCAAAGCAGATGACCCCACTCTTGGCGACAGCCAAGAACACGACGTTGAAATAACATATTCTTCAGCCCATGAGTCTAAGATCAATAACGAAGAAGAAAAGTTCAGAGTCTTCAAAAGGACTACCCATGGTAAGGGAAACCAGAACTGGAACTCGGCAAGGGACATTGTACCACTCCCTAAAGGAGCCAAAATCCCAGCCAATCCGGAGGACGCAAGTACTAGACCTTGGGTTGACCTCCGGACCAGTGAGGCTGAATGGAAGGCTAGGGTAAGGAAAGGGGTTTGCCTACACTACTAGAAGACTAATCATAAGGTCTAAGGATGCTATAGGCTGCAGGGAAACCAGAAGCGGGCGTAGAGAGTTCATCAACGCACTCTACAGCAAGGGAGTTCCCCCAAGGAAATTGGCACGGTACAGCAGTCCTTCCTTGAAGCCCCAACTTCTGTTGATTCCAAGGTCGATGTTTGTCATGTATGTATGTTGAGCCTTGGGAGGAGTCTGAGAAGGTCACCTTTCACTAGCACTTAGAGCATTGGGCTGAGATGAAACACCAAAATACTCAAGGGGCAATGAAGTTAATCTTCTTCAAACTTCTCATTAACCACCGCTATCTCTGTGTCTTGAACTTCTCATTAACCACCGTTATCTCCATGTCTTGATTGATTGTGGTTCCACAACTAACTTCATGTCATCACACGGGATACGCAAAGCGAGCTTGGAGATGAAGTGAGTGGCTTTGCAGAGCTCTTGCCAGACTCAGGTAGGCAACAAAGAAGTTGTCCAGTCCAACCAGTCTGAGTCTAAGGCCTGTATGGGCAATATCAGAGTCTGCAATGATTTTTCACTCTGAACAGGAGGAGGTATAGGTTGCTTGGAGGCCGCGCGGAGTGGAAGTCACCGCCCAAGAGGCAAGCAGGCCGCTATATCTCTAGGAGGAGCAAGGGGCTCCTCATTCTTCGGTGTGCAAGTTTGGTTGGAGCAACGCTGCTTGGAGCAGCACTGCTGTGGAGGAAAGACCCAGCTCTCCACCTCGGCTATGGTGGAGAACCATGGGCTGAAGGAGGAGGAAGACGAGAACTAGGAAGGGAGCCAGAGGTACTTACCAGGCTATGGTGGACGTCATCTTCATCCCTTGGTGGATGCTCCATGAAGGCCCCGTTGGGGTAGAGCTGCACCAAGAAGCTTCGAGGCAGAGTCAGGCATGACAGCCTGAACAGGAGCAGCCATAGCTGCTTTGTGTTGTCCTTTGCACAGCAGCGCAAGGCTCTGGTAGTCTGCCATAGCCTCGGCCTTCGAGGAAGAAGGAGAAGGGTGGCCATGGCTATGGTGGACCTCGATGTTGTACCTACAGTAGAAGAGGGATTCGGACGCTAATTATGTTTCAGCCATTCAACATCATTATTATTTGGTTGCACCCCCCGTCTGTTGGCGGCCCTTGACTGGTCGGCTGCCGACCTGCCGAC